TCAGGGAAGGTGTGACACTATAGATTTGTTGAACAGTAGTGCTATGGGTGGGGCAAGGGCATGGGAGGCTCTCTTGTACACAATGGACGGAATTTCACTGGTGTTCCCTGCCTTGGTTTTTAGAGAGTGTATGATGGACACAACATCTACCGGGCTGATTGGTGAAAGGAGAAGAGAGTTTGGATAGCTGCCTGAGAGATATGTGTTAATATGTGTCTGAGTCTGTGGGATTTTACTGGCAAGATTAGCACCAACCGATGAAAAGAAACTATTAAATTCATTTGCCATTTCTAAATCAGTTGACGGTATATCCCCATCCTTGTAGAGTTTTATTTGGTTATGTGAGTGTTGTTTAGTTCCTAGGATACTAGAGATAGTTTTCCAAGTGTTTTCATGTTGCCTTTTGCTTCATTGAATCTATTCACATAATATGCAAGTTTTGCCTTTCTTATGATACTGGTAAGCATTGATGAGTACCTTTTAGCTACTTCCTTTGAAACTAGGCCAATCCTAACTTTCTTTTCATATTCATGTTTCTTGTTGATTGAGTTGAGAATGCCACTTGTGAGCCATGGATTGTTTAATCTTTTGTCAGTTACTTGCTTTGTAAGAAGGGGACAATGAAGGTTGTAGAGGCTTAGAGTTTTGGAGAGGAAGAGGTTAGCTAATGAATTTATATCATGGGTATTATTGAATTCAGAATCCCAGTTAATATTGTGAAGTGCCTCTGTAAGATTGTCTAAAGCTGATTCACTGTGTAGCCTAAATGAAAGTTTCTTGCTTTTTGGTGGTGTTATGTCCATGTTCGCTATGAGAAAGGTAGGATAGTGGTCCGTTGTTCTGTCGTAGATTATACCAGATACAAGGGGAGCTGTATATGGTGATTACACCTCAGCTTCCTCCAACAAGGTGAGAAGAGTATTACCTGTATATGGTGTAATGTATATGGTGTATATGGTGATAATGTATATGATGTGGTGTAATGTATATGATGTATATGGTGATACAAGGGGAGCTTATATGGTGATTACACCTCAGCTTCCTCCAACAAGGTGAGAAGAGTATTACCTGTAATTGGGGAAAGGATTGTAGCTTCTGTAATTAGTTATCCTATTAAGATAATGAGATAATGGAGCGAGTATAAGATTAACTCGCTACAGGACTCCCCCTGCCAGGGAATGGAAGAAAAGCAATACATAACAAAAAACACGAGGCTACTGTTCCCTGGGTCGCTGTGGAACATGTAGTCTGCAGGTACCAAAAGATGTTTGCAGTGTGTGGACAAGCTCGGTGTAGCAGGAGAGAAGAATGTGCATAATTGTTGCGTCCTTGGGTCGCTGGTGGAGCATTTAGATCCGGGGCGGATAAGCTCCGACACCAGGACATTAGGAGGTAATGTAGGCACGTAGTTAGGACAACGAGGTAATCACATCTAGAGCTGAATTGTCCTGAAGGCGACGAAGTGTCGGAAACGCAAGCTGTAAGTCCTGTACTGCGTAAAGGGCTTGAGTTGTCGGAAAATCCGACACCATTTAATAATATCATACAGGCAGATAATATTGCTGTGTTGTATAAACAAGTTAACCCATAGAAAATGTAACTTGTAGTGGAATTTCCATCTATAGAAAACGGGATATCATTACCACATACTATTATAAATTCACCACCTATTATGGTGGGAATTATTCTTAAATACATTAGTCTTTGGACTTTACCATCATAAAAACATCTCATATAAATTAACTTAATTATCAGAATTAAAATAGAGTAAATGTGACCCTTCTATCACTTACTGTCATCTGGACAATGTAGGCCAGTAGCGTCAGTGAGGAGGGAGTGGTCAGCCATTGTTATTGTTTAAGACCACAGAGTCGTGGAGCGAATTACGGCTCCTATAAATTCTCTTGGACGAAGTGTTATGGAAGATCAGAGTAGTGATCTGCCATCATCAACATGCTGTCATCAATCTCAAGGGAAGTGTCTTTCCGAAACCCGTTTATCTAATCATTTTTGGCCATTAATGTCAGTAGATAGGGCGTACCAGTTAGAACACGAATGATCGACTCAAACAAGGTAATTAAGCCTAGGTCTTTATGGTTCCATGTACAGTGTTTTCTTTGATATAGCTGTCATATATTAGGATTCTGGCTTCTTAGCTAGCGCCCTTTTGACAGATCAAGACGAGGAAGCATGCTTTGTGTACCAGTTACTGGGTGATGGAAGCTACCTCAAAGAGGATAATTTGGTGTCTACATCCTGGTTATACCTGGTGGACTAAGGCCTGCTGTACAATAAGATAAGGAACCTCTTCAATGTTTAACAATATTTGTAGTTTAATACTGTAGTTTGATTGGCTACATATATATAAATTCAATATAAACCCCCCCTAATGTGTAGAGGATCGATTTGTGAGATTATTGCAGAAATACAGTCCACTTATCATCATACAAATTGCTATCGAAGTATATAAATTAACGTAAATATAAATTCTATATAAATTCATATAAATTAAATAAATATAAATCTCACAGGTCAGTTCCCACATGAATCGGCCGAGTATCAAAATGCAGTGAACGTGTAGATGAATCTGATGACAGAGCAGCTGTCGTGGGCGTCCCTGTAGGACAAGAAGTGCCCTGGCAGCGACGGAGAGTCGGCAGTACAGGCTCTAGATCCAACATGATGTAATCATTGATGAGGCTGTCAGATGAGTGAGTAACGATCGTGGAGCAGCAAGCCGTTGTAGATGAAAATGCAGAGATGGACGTGATGAAAATCATAGCTGTGGCGAGGGTGTTGGCAGTGTTCCATCATAGCAAACAGCAGCAGTAGAGGTCCAGTGAGAGTCCATGTTGTAGTCCATCGTGGGTGGGTATCGTCGAAACTCTCTGGGGTCACCAATGTAACGATTCTATTGTTACGTAAAGTATGGTGACAATAAACACAGACACTAAGAGAATATATATATATTTAGTCGAGTAAACAGAAGTATGCAGGTGATACCTTGGCGAGCAATGGTGTGAGTTGAGCGCACTGACAGTTGGTACGGTATCTCGCAAGTGTCTGTTCTAGACCACACTTGAAAGTAGACTAGTTAATGTTTGCTATTCTGCTGCTTATATGCTCTTGCAACACCTCACCGTGTTGCCCGGGCAACGCCTTACCTCATTCATCTCCAAAGGTTGACAGGAATATTAACAATGCCTTTGGAGCGAGTATATTATTGGGATAATCTACTCGCTACAATACTTTAATCTCAATTAGTATTAAGTTTTAGTCTAGGTGTTTTTCCTGCCCGAAACGCTTTGCGTAATAGTGACTTTAGGCTTTGTATGTACTAGCTTTTTTTTTTTGAGATATATAGAAGAATTATTACATTCTTGTACAGCACTAGTACGCGTACCGTTTCGGGCAAGTCCCTGGAATACGATCCCCGCCGCGAAGAATCGTTTTTACAACCAAGTACTCATTTTACTGTTGAGTTAAACAGAAGCTACAGTTAAGGATTTACACCCAGTAAATCCTCCCCGGCCAAAAAAGGACACGAACCCACGACAAAGCGCTCGCGAACGCCAGGCGAGTGTCTTACCACTACACCACGGAGACTAGCTCTATCTATAAATTCATCAATGTTTGTATCACACCTTGTATGTATGTATTTTATCTGAATAAACTTTTGATTTGATTTGATTTGAAAGTAGACGGTAAATTCTTTGGTGTTCTCAGTGTTAATTAGTTTAAATTTAATTAAACGGACATTTAATTACTAATTATAAATGTAAATATTATTTGTAATTGAATGAATAAATCTATTCCTATAGATCTAATACATATTATAATTATTATTTATTATAATTATTATTTATTGTTATTATTATTATTAAAATAATAATATTTTAGCAGTCTGCTAAGTCTTTAGCAGTCAGTTGGCAGTCTCCGTGGTGTAGTGGTAATTAGACACTCGCCTGGCGTTCCGCGAGCGCTATGTCATGGGTTCGTATCCTGGCCGGGGAGGATTTACTGGGCGCAATTCCTTAACTGTAGCCTCTGTTTAACGCAACAGTAAAATGTGTACTTGGATGAAAAAACGATTCTTCGCGGCAGGGGATCGTATTCCAGGGACCTTAGGATTAAGGACTTGCCCGAAACGCTACGCGTACTAGTGGCTGTACAAGAATGTAGCAACTCTTGGATATATCTCAAAAAAAAAAATTAAAATAAAAAATAAATAAACAAGTACCCCACTCTTTGTGCGCGTTTTTCATTCGCATAAAAAAAGTAAAGCTGCTTGTAGATTAGCTTTTCAAATATTTTTGACAAGGTTGGCAGAATGTTGGCATTTGGGGGTCGTATTCCTTGGAAAAATTAGGATTAAGGGCTTGCCCGAAACGCTATGCATGAAGGTAGCTTTACAATAATGTAAGAACTCTTGTATATATAAATAGCAGTCTCCGTGGTGTAGTGGTAAGACACTCGCCTGGCGTTCCGCGAGCGCTATGTCATGGGTTCGTATCCTGGCCGGGGAGGATTTACTGGGCGCAATTCCTTAACTGTAGCCTCTGTTTAACGCAACAGTAAAATGTGTACTTGGATGAAAAAACGATTCTTCGCGGCAGGGGATCGTATTCCAGGGATCATAGGATTAAGGACTTGCCCGAAACGCTACGCGTACTAGTGGCTGTACAAGAATGTAACAACTCTTGTATATATCTCTCTCAAAAAAAAAAAAAAAAAAAAAAAAACACAAATAAAGTTATTGAATGTGAAAACAGCTGTGAACGCAAGCCAGCGCACAAGTACAAGAGCGTCCAAAATGCTTTAACACAACAGACATCTGGAGACAGAAATGTGGCTTCTAAAGTCGTTTTTGTTAATTAATATTACATGTTTAGTATTTGCATTGAACACATATTGTTATATATAAGTAAAACTATTATATAATAAATATAATAAAGAGTTCCCCCCAAACCGGCCGTGCTTTGTGCGTTCGATCATGTTTGTGGGCACTCGGATGTGTTGTTTACGCTAGCGGGCGTTGTTCTCATGAAGCCCTTGTCCTTCTCATTATTGAACTTCATTTAATAATTACATGCCTGTTAAGTAGAAGTTTTAGCCTTTAATAGCATTATATTATGGTTTTAATATTGACAAATTATATATATAAGAAACGTGTAAATTTTGTCTTGAAATGGTAAAAATATGTGTGAGCTCCGTGTTGTGCAGCAAGTGAATAGTGACTTCTCCAGGAGCCGTCCCTCATCACAAGACAACTCCTGCAGTAACAAGCAGATAATCTTGACCGAGTGGTTGATTGATGAAGATTAAGCCACCCAAGAGGTGACACGGGCATGAATAAGTGGTAGATTTTTAGAGTGAACGTGATCATTGGTGGTGTAATCTCTACCCTAAACTGCACGGATAATAACCATGAAACCTCGTCAGTGTCCAGTGTGTGGGAAAACATTCAGTCGTGCTGCATATATGAAGACCCACATGACTGTGCACACAGGTCACAAGCCTCACGAGTGTCCTCAATGTGGGAAAACATTTAGTCAGCTTGGAAATGTTAGAAGGCATATGACAGTGCATATGGTTATTAGACCTCATGGATGTCTTGTGTGTGGGAAAACGTTCAGTCGCACCGGACAACTGAAGACTCACATGGCTGTCCACACAGGTGATAAGCCCCACGAGTGTCCAGAGTGTGGGAAAACCTTTAGTCAACTTGCACATGTAAAAAGGCATATGGCAGTGCATATGGTTGATAGACCTCATGAGTGCCCAAAGTGTGGGAAAACATTCAGTGAACTTGGAAGTATGAAGACACATATGACTGTTCATACAGGTCATAAGCCCCATGAATGTCCCGAGTGTGGGAAAACATACAGTTGTGTTAAATATTTGAAGTCTCACATGAGTGTGCATGCAGGTCACAAACTTTACAAGTGTCCTGAGTGTGGGAAAACATTCAGTCATGCTGGACATATGAGAAGACACATAAGTGTGCATACTGATCATAAACCTCATGAGTGTCCAGAGTGTGGGAAAACATTTAGTCATCTTGCAAATTTGAGGATTCATACAACGGTGCATACTGGTGTTAAACCTTTCCAGTGTGCAGAGTGTGGGAAAAGATTCAGACAACGTAAAGGTATAGTACGTCACGTGATGGTGCATTCAGATGAAAAACCTACAAATATTCAGAGTGTGGGACAAGATTTAAGACGTGTAAGAATATTTAAAGTCGCATGTTAGTGCAGATGGGTAATAAATGTCAATGGTGCTTCAAGTGTGTGTGGACAAAAATCAGTTAACATAGATAAAAAGAAGCACAGATAGATACATAAGTGTGACTAACATCATGTGTCCTAAGTTAGTCTACTGAAGGCACATGTTGCTAGCTGATGGGTGACAACGATCGAGGGATTGGATGTGCCCAAGGCACATGTTAGTGCATTCAGGTGATAAATCTCTCTACTGCCCCAGCTAAATAGAAAAAGTCCCAAACCTAGTAAGCAAATTATTTAAAAAAGGAACACGATGGTGTGTAGGAATGAAACTCTTAGTTATTTGTTAGAAGTACAGTATTGTATGATAAACATTAGGACAAACTAACAATGTTACCTAGTAAACCAATGGCAGTACTGTAATTGAAAAGTGTGAACTTCATCTTGAAAACAGTGTTTTAGTGTCTTGTCAGCTGCACTTCTAAGGTATTTTGGTTTTCTTTTTGTGATATATACTTTACCATGGACAAATTTTTTTAAGTTGAAAAGCTTAACCTTTTCAACAATGCATATAAATAATTTAAGTTATATTTTTGCCATCTGTTCTTATATAGAAGTTAACCTAAGTGCACAAATATTTATTTGTATGGCAAATGTAATACAGTATTTATAATTTTTAATATGGGGAGCTCCGTCGGCTCCCCAGAGCTATCCAGGCTGAATGGATATTTATAACTTTCTGGCATCAGTCAATGTGCATGGAGTTCTTGCCTACCGGGGACCACGAGGCAGAACCTGGCCCCTTCAGAGAGGCGCGAGGAGCCTATAGAAAACCCCATGTGATTTGGAGTATTCTATGTCTGCCAATTCAATTTTTCTTTATTATGCACCCCATACCCATCCTGTGGGCAGTGGTGTAAAGGATTACAGAGGCACATAATCGGTTCAGGAACTGAACCCTCTAGTTCGTTTAGCTAAGCAAATAACAATTTTTGACGCTAGTTACAAAATTATTGCCATCGACCGGGTCTGACACCCAGAAAGGTAGGCATCCCAAAACAAATCCCTATCTGGTGAAACTATTGCTACCGAAAGCCGAACGAGTGAACAAAACTCCCCAAACGAAAATTAGCAAACTAGCATGACATCATCACTATGCCGCACTGCTGTCTGCGCGAACCTCCCCCCCCCTCCCTGGGAGGGGGAAGGGGGAGCCCCAGACCCCCGAGCCGGTGCTCCAAGCACCAGTTCTTTGCTGATGCGATTCTGGAGAAGTCGTGTGCCTCTGGCTTCACCTTTTTGTCATAGTTCTGTGTCTTGTGGTTTGGGCTGTCTTTACAGGTGGTGTGTGAGCCAGGAATAATATTCCAGGGTACTTGGGCTGCATGCGCTGAGTGTTCCCTTCTCTAGGTGCTCAGTAAGTACTGCCCTTGGGGCTTGGTGCCTCCTTCCACAAGTTCCCTTGGGATCTACCTCCGCTGTGTCTTTTACTGCTTGGTACTTGGCCACCCTTGGGGTCAGCTGGGTTTTTTTTGCCCTTGTTTGTCTCTGGGTGAGAGGTAGTTTTTGTCACTGGTAGGGGCGCAATGTACTGCACAGCTAGTTATCATCTATTATAGGGGCCGGCGCTGTTCCACCTGGGTACGTTGTCCTCCGTTGTTCCGCCTGGGTACTTCGGCTTTTAGAAGTTCGTTTGGTAGATTTGGGCGCTGGTTTGCAGTAGCCTGCCTGGGCATCCCTTAGCGTGTTAACAAGGCTAAGGGCCCTGGGAAACCCCGCGGAGGCTCTGTGGTCCAATGGATGTGACCTTGAGTCCCCTTTCGCTTTGAGCGAGATTGAAGGTTGCTCTGTCCCCTTGTCTCAGGGTGACACTCACAGATTGTGCCTCTGCCATGCTGCCTGTTGGGTCGGAGATTCCTTTGACCTGGAGTCATGCGATGTTTGTTGTCTGTACGTGTTCCAGTTCACCCAAGCTACTGATAATGATATGAGGTGGTGCAGGTAGCCGGTGTGTTGTATGGTAGGTTCAGGTTGCTGCAACGCGCTAGGTTGCTTGAGCCCCCAGATGCCCCAAGACTGCCTCGTTTTGGTTATAAGGACCTGGACTTGGGGTTGGGAGTCGCTTCGGCTCTGGTTCCATCCGCCCCTCCTAATGGTGCAGGAAGCCCTTGCGGCTTACCTCCTGTGCGACCCGGATTATGCTTTTGTTATAAAAAATGGTGGGCTTGCTATGGGGGAACTGGTACTATTAAGGGGTAAGGGTAGTTAGAAAACAGAGTTATCAAATATGGGAGAGCTAAAAGGCCCGGCCCCCAAATAAAACTATAAGCAGTGCTGAATACTTGGCTACACACAAGGTCAGTCAAGAGGTTGATTAATGCACTCCCACAGAGGAAGAAGGAATACTCTGTTCTAGCTTACTTATTTATTAACCCCTTAACAACCCCCCATATACACTCACACCAATAACAATAATAATAATTACTTTACCACACTATCTTACATTAAAAGCCTTGGTCCACTTAGGCAAGATACAAGGTTTACACTAAGAACAAGCTAGGGTAAAGTACTACTGGATAAGCACTGAAGCTGGATGCAGCTTAGGGTAGAGAGACCACGTGGTACCCTAATACCAAAACACAACACTTAGGGGTACCCAAAACACTGGCAAATACTACCCCCAGGTCTCACCAATCGTTACTTCCAGAGTAGGCACACTTAAAACACAGTACTTAACTTAATGGTACAGGAACTTAAGGTAAGGGAAATAAGTAAGAGGAGAAGGGAGGAGAGTAGGGGTGCAGCCACAGAGTAGATCTCGTCCCCACGAACTCCAGCCAGAAGAAGAACGCTCCCAGCGACCAGCTCAGGCCTCCCGCATGTGGTGGTGCCGGGAGGAGCCTAATTGATCGTGCAGCTAAGCACATTAAAAATCTTCCCCTATGCAACATATTGTTACTTTACAAATGATTAAAGTATTAGTAAACATAGTTGGTGCCTATGTTATTATTTAATAATCAATCCCCAGCTCAGTCTTTAAATGCTCTTTGAGAAACAAGAATAGTCTTACGTCTGGCAGGGAAGATACAAACAATTTCAGCTCGTGATGCGTTCAACTATACTATAGGAAAGTTTAATAACTCAATTTTGACCTCTGGTTTCCACTGAGGAACCCAGGGTCGTAACAGCTTTCATGATGGTTCTGCGTTCTTTCATGTATGGATCTTCGTGACCGTACTGGGTTCGTTATGAAGTTCTGGAGTCATCCTGGTTGTCATCCTTTTTCTGTGCAGGTTGGAGGAGTGGGTCTGTATATTAGGGAAGACCTTGTATGCTCGGAGCTCCTTAACGTTACAAATGAGGTGGTAGAGGTTTTGGGATTAAAAATAGAGAAAATAAACTTAGTGATTATTCTAATATTCAAACCGCCAGATGCAACGGCTGAGGAATTCACAGAACAGATAATCAAAATAGAGAATAGCCTTGATAATTTGGAGAACCCGATACCTGATATTATCTTCCTAGGTGACTTCAACTTGCCTAGCCTCAGATGGAGACTAGGCAAACAATAACATTATACCAGGAAATCTATGGGGACCTAACCAACCACAGATTAGAGAACTACTTAGATTCTGTGACAAATTTTCACTCAACCAGCAGATATCAGAGCCAACGAGAAATGAAAATATTCTAGGTCTGGTCTTTACGAACAATGAAGACATTATCAGGGACATTACGATATCAGATACCACATACTCAGATCACAAGCTCATTGACGTGCAAACGACCATCAATACTCAGAATAAACCTAAAACATTGATCAAGCGAGAGGGATTATTCAGTAAATTCAATTTTAACCCCTTAACTGCGTTGCCTCCAAATGTGACACCCCCGCAGTGCGCAGGAAATAAATTCTCTTGAAAAAATTCTTTTTTCTTTTTAAAGTGTCAAAAACCCTTCCCTGAGTATGGGTATGTAAAAAAAAATTCGAAATTGTACTTACTTTGGGTGCTATGGGGTCCGGAAGTTGGGGCGTGACGTCATCATTCCCCGTGCGCCCGTGGTGTAAGCTCTCAGAGGCGGTGGGGCGCTCGGGGCGGGGCGCGCGAGTTGCCGCGAATATATTTTTGTTCATTTATTGCGCACATTTCCCAATACATTTTCATTGTTTTTATGTGCCAATCCAATGTATAATGAACACGTACACTGTAATATCGCAGTACAACATCCGTACTGTCCGTAGACACTGTGTTACGTGCATCACAAACAACTTCACTTATCCTACACAATTTCCAATGTATCATGCCAAATAAATTTATATTTACACTTTATATACACACTGTACAGTATCACACACTATATACACACACCATAAACACACTCAGTACTCCGCGAGTGTGTGATATGCTGCGAAACAGCCAACGGGGCAGAGTGGCACCTTGCACTCCACGCACCAGGTGCTGATACATCTTCGTTTCTGTTCTCTGCGGGTAGTGTTCCTGCATACTATACACGCACGTTTACCCTTCTCCCGTGATGCTGTGCCTGGCATATACTCGAGCATATGTACTCCGAAGTTCTCATTACCCCTCAATCTGTCTGGAGCTGCATGTGGCATTGTTGCTTGCACTCCGCGCGGTACAACAGAACCCTCCTTGCCATACTTTACTAGCAGCTGTGACACAACACCAGCACTGAATGTACGTATAGACGGTCTCCTGCCAGATTTTACTAAGTACATATTGAAGCAGTTGAGCACTGCAACATCCATCAGGTGGAAGAAGAACTTTTTAGTCCACTTCACAGACTTGCGCACGCACTCTACTCCACCAAGCATCATGTCACACTTATCGACGAGGCGCATGTTCACGTTATAGTCTATGACACAGTCTGGCTTATACACGGTGTTGCGTGTCTGAAAGTGGACTTTCCCACTGTCCAACATGGCACCGGTGTGAATCGTACTCAGCATATTCACCTCGCGTCTGTCCTTCCACCGCACTGACAGCGTATTGTCACACTTGCGCAGCTGGCACTCGCCCACGGCTATAGCTATACCGAACACTGGCATTTCCTTCCTATGGCTCTTCACAGTGCCACATACGCCGGTGTTGTGGGCAAGGAGGTATCTGGTCAATAAGGGGCTGGTGTAATAGTTGTCGGTGTACAGTACATGCCCCTTGTTCAGCAACGGTTCCATCAGGGTCTTTACAACACTGCCAGAGAACCCGTGTTCATCTTGAGCCGGTATGTCGACGTCTGTACCAGAATATAATATCATGTCCAAGACAATACCAGTCTCACAGTCGCATAGCACAAAAAACTTCAGTCCAAATCGGTGCCGCTTTGATGGAATGTACTGTTTGAATGCCAGTCGCCCCTTGAACAGTACAAGCGACTCGTCAATAACCACATTCTGTCCAGGTACAAAATAATCCCTGAACTTCCCTCTCATGTCACTGAACATCTTCCGTACTTTCCACAGT